AAAACAAAACAAAACAAAAAACAAAACAAAAAACAAAAACAAAACAAAAGGCAAAGACGGACACTTTTTTTCCCTTCTAGGTACTTGAAGCTGAACTCCAAAAACAATGTGAAAGTTGTAAAAACTACGAATCTCAGTTGTGTAAAACACAGACATCGTTAAAGGTAAAATGTCCGTGGGTATTTGGTATTGGTGATAATGATCCATTCATCGATTATTTCGTCCATCCCACCACATAACATCGATCCTTCCGTCTTCCATGTTTTCAATATGTCCGTCTTCCATGTTTTCCATGTCTTCCATGTTTTCACTTATCTAGTGATCTATTTAATTCTGTATGAAGTATCTATCCCATCCCATTGAGCCTACCGTCTTCCATGATCTCAAGATGTCATTCACTTATCTAGTTATCTATTTATTTCTGTATGAAGTATCTATACCATCCCATTGAGCCTACCGTCTTCCATGATCTCAAGACGTCGTTCACTTATCTAGTTATCTATTTATTTCTGTATGAAGTATCTATACCATCCCATTGAGCCTACTGTCTTCCAAGATCTCAAGATGTCATTCACTTATCTAGTTATCTATTTATTTGTGTTTGAAGTATCTATACCATCCCATTAAGCCTACCGTCTTCCAAGATCTCAAGACGTCGTTTACTTATCTAGTTATCTATTTATTTGTGTAGGGAGAACAAGAAAAAGTCCTTGCTTTCGAATCCCAACAACGAATCTTGGCAACAGAAATAAGGGTACAGAACCAATATTGACATTGACTATGATGATGTTGGTGTTGTGATGATGATGCTGATGATGACGATGAGGTTGTCCATGACGACGACGACGATGATGATGATTAGGARGAGGAGGAGGAGGAGGAAGAGGAGGAAAAGGATGAGGGTGTTGTCGATGATGATGACGATRAAATCATCTCTCTCACCAAATATAGCATTGTTGCTTCAATGATGAACGCTGTCACTTAGAAACACTACCATTCATTGTTCTACCCACACAACTATATGCGTTGATTTTTGGTTTTATTTTTTTTGGAGTATGTAAAAAAGTCGTTTTATGCTATGAATTTTCCCCAGGAATTGCAGAATCAGATCAATTCATTTTCTTGCCACACAACATAAAAAACGTTGATTTTTTTTAATATTTTATTTCTTCTGGAGTGCGTAAAAATCCTTGTGCTATCAATTTTACCCAGGATTTGCAGACTCAGATCAGTTCAGGCGAGGAGGAGCTGTCACTTGTAAGAATAAAGTCAGAGGAAACAGAGTCAAGTCTGAGACAAACTGTTGAACAACTGAATGAGGTATAGTATGAAAGACCATGAAGGATTAGGGCCACTATCAGAATATCGCCTTGAACCAATCACAGCACGCGATAACACTGTTTGTCCAATCAGAATTTTAGAACGTTAAAGCCAAGATCACAGTCACGGCACGAAACGCTCAGGGGCTGATCCAATGACATGGCGCGAGATTACTGTTCATCCAATCAGAATGCTTYTAAGACGGCGGCGTCACGGTCACGCCGCAACTCATTCTCATGAACCTCCTTTAGATCCCCCGCGACATTCGTACCATTTATTTGCCATTTGCCATTTTTGTTTAAAAAAGGTGCGTTCTTTTTTTTTTACCAGGTTAAAATAGGTCTAGAAACTAAAGTTATGAACTTGGAAAATTACCTCAAGTCTGAAAAAGATCGAGCAGATGCATTAACAAAACGAAAGGTATAGCTAGTGAAATAGGAAAACATGATTTCGCAGTACATTTCTAACAAGCAAATAAAAAAAAAACAACCTTAAACAGAACGGTCTAAAAAAGCTTGCAACTGTACTGACATACCGGACGTGAGTAGGTCGCCCTTTCATTTTACTCAAACAAAGGACTATCTTTCGAAACGTAAACGTCAAGTAAAGTTGCAAGCTTTAAAAATGTGTTTAAGTTTTAAGTTTCCTTCTTACTCACTTGTTGTCTTCAACACACCTTCGCAGTCCCAACTAGTTTACCACTAGTCAATATATGTGCATTTTTACTTAATTGTTCCTTGTATTATTTATGACACTTGGCCCCAAAATGGAAAAGTCATTTCTGGCGAGTCTTGGATCATCACGATCAGTTTAATAAAATAATATTTTTAGAGATTTTCGTTCTATATTTCTATCTAAACTGAACTCCGACTGTTTCCACAGGAATCACTAGAAGAAGGAATAGCAAAATTGAATAATTCCCTGACAGAAGTAAGGTAAGTATATCAAACAAATAACACCAACGAACAAACAAACAAAAAACTAACAAAAAAACTAAAAAAAACTAACAAAACAACAACAAAAGTAAGGAAAAAAAAAAAGAAAAAAAAAAAAGGAGAAAAACCAAAAACAACAGTAACAAAATTTCTTTTACATTAAAATCGCAATGACAATATTAAAGATTACGTCCACTTTTTCAGGGAAAGTTTGGAGGGTCAAGTAACTGAACTACGAAAAACCTTGGAAGACGAAAGAAAACAAAAAGAAAAGGTAATAGATTAACTAAGTCGATAATGTTTGTCCATGCTTGATTTACTGCGGTTTTCCATATTCTGCGAACTCGGACATTTCAACGGCTTGTTGTGAAATTTGGTTTATACAGCCGCCAGTCAGTGACCAACATAAAAGGTACCGACTGATTATTTTTGATTGACGGCAGCGAAAAAACAGATTTCAGCGTGCAGCTCGCAACTACCGAGTTTGCAGAATATGGAAAACCGCAGTAACCGTGTTTGGTTTACCTCTCCTTCTTGTAGGAATCCGAGGAAGCAAACGAGAAACAGCAGTTACTGATTACACAGAAACTTGATTTAGAAAATAGATTAACAGGTGTTCAACAGGATCTTGATAAGGTATTGTACCAAGGCAGTAATTACGGAAAGTGTTGTTGCTGCTGCTGTTGTTATTGCTGTTGTTGTTGCTTTGCTTTCTGTTTCTTCTTCTTGGCCATACTGCTCCTGCTGTTGTTCATGTCATTGTTGCCACTGCTACTGTTGCCTTTAACTGTTCCTGTTTTTATTGCTCTCATGCTTTTACATTGCTATATTATTTTTTCCAGTCTCGAGAAGAACACGAAGAAACGAAGGAAGTTGCTAAACGAGTGCAAATGGTACTGAACGAAGAAAAAACAGCTCTGCAGACAAAACTGGTACGTCTGGTAATAGTGCATATACTCTCTTTCTGGGTTTCACTTGACGTCATTTCCTGTCCCGTGTGGGATGCTTCATCAGCTTATTCGCAAGTTTTCAATGAAATTCTTACTGGTTGACAGCACATGCGGGCTAGTGTTTGACCACCATTTTGCGCAGATAATGAGATCCAAAGGCTTTTGTCAGCTGATTGAAACTCAGCAATTATTTATCTAACAGCTTACCTTTGTATGTGACGTCACAACATTTCTCGGAAGAAAAAGAAATTGAGATGCGCTCATATCTATTGTTGATAATTTATTCGCTCCTTGAAATAAAAATGTGCATTGCAGTTTATTTGTTTTGCTATTAAAACGGCAACCTTTGGCAAGTGAAGATGCAAGCCTCATTATTTATCCTATCATGAGCCCATGGTTTATTGGTCTATTTAATCAATAGGCAAATGAGATTGAAGAGAAAAAAGAGATCCAAGACAAGGGTGAACAGAAAGAGGCTCTTTTGAATATTCAGTTGGCTTCGCTGACTGAAAACTTAACAGCTGCAAGAGCAGAGGCTGAAGCAAGCGAAAACAAGGCACGACAAAACCAAGAAAAATTACTTGAAGAGGAAAAGAAAAACGAAGCTCTCAGAGGTGATAATGCAGGTAAGTCTTTAAGAAAGTAGCACCAATAATTCTTAGTTTCATGAAATGCGGACCTTAGTCGTTTTCGTTTTCCTAATTTCAGACCACTTTTTGTTTTCTTCGAGTAAATCGTTGTGAAGTGAATCCATGCCCCATACCAAACAATGCTGTTGGGACATTTAAAAATATTTGTTCTTTTCACACTAAAAAACATGACTTTTCGAAGCGTTTTAGTCTTTCCTTGAAAACGAGAATGGAGGCATTTTTAAGACGAATTGTTGTGGACAGTGAATCGAGGCTTTTGAAAGTGGTTACGTCATTTACACCGTCACGTCTGTTTTCCACATGCGCAGATAACGATATAGAAGTTTTGCACTATCACGTGCAAACGTCCTTAATACAACTTGCGATGCCTGTGGTTAGATGGCAGAACAATAAAATCCCTTTGCTCTTGGGAATTGAATTTTTTCTCATGTAAAACGATTGTATTATTCCTGCAAAACCTGTATTGAATCATTTCCAATCCCCTTATAAAGCTTCGACTAAATTAATAAAAATATATATTTGGTAGAGTTTGCATTATGTGAGAATGTTGCTTTTATCTTCAGTCTTAGACGCCACCATTCAAAACAATCTAGATGAGAGAAGAAAACTCTTGGAGAGGTAAGTTGCTTTTTGATGTTATAACGGATTAAAGGAATTATAAATTGCAACATCGTTCATTTATCCATTTTATTGTTTTGCCCAAGTTTGATTTCAAGTTCAATCCAAATATTTTCATTTCAGGAAATTTTCCTTGTTTTTTTTAAAGAAATTCGTATATTATTTTTTATTTAAATTCTTTTTTGTTTGTTTGTTTGTATTTTGAAAACAATTTATTGATTTCATAATTCTGTCTACATATAAGATTGAACGTATATGAATATTATTCTTCCTTCCTTCCTTCCTTCATTTAACCTACAGATGTATTGCAAGTGAAGAAGATGTAGAGAAGATTAAGAAGGAACTGATAGCGGCAAGGAAAAAATTCGAAGACTCCCAGGCAGCAATGGTCGAACTCACCCAAGAAAATCAAAATCTACAGGTAATATCAATCAGCTGAATGAATCTCAAAAAAAAAAGCAATACCCTACCTACAATATGGTATCAATAAGTTAAATGAATCTTAGGAATCTCATTACCAACCCACAATTCTTCGTTTGCACATAGCGTYATAGCCGCCATCTTGGATGAATAAAACAATGAAATCTTATGGTATATTATGCAACATGGCCACCGTGTCTTTTCTTATTTCACTCCCCTGGGAATGATTGAAARCCAGCAATAACAAGCAAAGCCTGCTCGTCATTTGCTATCAACCAGAATCTATTCTATTGCTTGGTATTAATCACCAGAATGAATCTCGCAAATCTCATTACCGACACAAATTTGTGCTTTTTTTAGATTATGAACAATCAAATGACTACACGTCGGTGGGAGGTTGACGAAGATGTTGCTAATTGTAACAGCTGTGATAAAGCTTTCTCCATTACCGTAAGAAAGGTGAGACAGAACCAAAGAATCCTTAAAAAACCTCCGAAACAACCTGGGCTGATCTAAGTCAGGCACTGCTACCTCACAGATCGAATCCTGAAACAACCTCTGGGCTGATCTAAGTCAGGGCGCGGCTAACTCACAGATCGAACCCTGAAACAACATCTGGGCTGATCTAAGTCAGGGCACGGCTAACTTACAGATCGAACCCTGAAACAACCTCTGGGTTGATCAAAGTCAGAGCATGGCCAACTTACAGATCGAACCCTGAAACAACCTCTGGGCTGATCTAAGTCAGAGCACGGCTAACTCACGGGGGAAAAACTACCTCTGGGCTGATCAAAGTCAGGGCATGGCTAACTTACAGATCGAACCCTGAAACAACCTCTGTGTTGATCAAAGTCAGCGCATRGCCAACTCTCAGATCGAACCCTGAAACCACCTCTTGGCTGATCTAAGTCAGGGCACGGCTAACTCACAGATTGAACCCTGAAACAACCTCTTGGCTGATTTAAGTCARGGCACGGCTAACTAACAGATCGATCCCTGAAACAACCTCTGGACTGATCTAAGTCAGGCGACGTCTAATTCACAGATGAAATTGGAATATAGCGTCATGAGTTTTTTGGAGGGGGAGGGGGGAGGGGGGATGGGGATTTCTTTTCAAGTGAACTAGAAAGTGTTTTTAAGATATTTCAATAAATACTTTTCTCTTTTTTAGCACCATTGTCGTAATTGCGGGTAAGTCTCCAATGATCTGAGCTGATAACAGAGATGGTGATTATGAGATACGATGGTGTTGTTGTTGTTGCTGGTGATAGTATCAATGATGTTAGATGTGGTGTTCGTGATTGTTGATGATTATAACTGATGATAGTGGTGGTTATGTAGTCGTCACGATGATCGTGACGGTGATGATGGCAATGCTAGATCGTGATGATGGTGGTGCGGGCGCAGGTGATAATAATGATGATGATGATGATGGTAATGATGATGATGATGATGGTAATGATGATGATGGGTAATGATGATGATAGTGCCAACGGTGATGAAGGCGATTGATGGTGATAATAGGCTTAATGATGACGGTGACGGTGGTGATGGTGATGCAGTTGATGCTAGTCATAATGATAATGATTGTGATGATGGCCGTAATGATGATGATGATGATGCTGGTGATGATAGTCGTAATAATGATGATGATGGTGATGCTGGTCATGATGAGATTGATGCTGATGATGATGGTCAATGATGATGGTGATGATGTTAATGATGGTGATGCTGGTCATGATAACATTGATGCTGGTGATGATGGTCATAATGATGATGATGATGGTGATGATAGTCATGATAATAATGATGGTGATGCTGGTCATGATGATATTGATGCTGGTGATGATGGTCATAATGATGATGGTGATGATGATGATGCTGGTCATGATGGTCGTCAAGTTGACGAGACTGGTGATACTAAAGATGATTTACTATACTATTTAAATGTTAGGTATACCCCATGCCTTTTTGGTTTGTTTGATGTTTCAGTTTGATCTTCTGCAATGAATGTACAAGCAAGACAGCCACCATAGCATCCAGTAAGAAACCAGTTCGTGTATGCGGAACATGTTACAATGAAGTAACCAGCGGTTCAATCAAGGTTAGTAGCACTGGTAACGAGCACTGGGGACTGTTTTAGGAAGCGCCATTGTTTTGCAGTATGGCGGAATACATAGCAAGCTCTTTGAAAAACGGGCCCAAACAAACATAAATTTAGTTTAAAAATTAAACCTCTTAAAGGAAAAAAAGGAATTCCCTAAAACAGTCTAAATCAGGATTCAGTGCACGTTCTACTGACTACCAGTTTTCCGCGCAACTTTGAAAAGTCTAATATAGATTCATGCCTGTGCACTGTTAAAGCGCGATTAAACGTAACATTTTTCGTGTGTCCGGAGTGTTTACAGAGGGCAACGAAGGCGCAATCGTTGCCAAAAGTAGAAACGAATTCTAGTTTTTGCAACAATTGCTGCAACTTTTCTAGCAATATTTTTTTAATTGCTCTTAATGCAACTTGTGTCGCAACTATTTTGCGAGAGGTTGCCGAGAAAATTGCTTGGTGTAATCACGCCTATGATTCCAGAGTTTTTAAAAGACAAATTGTTTCTTATTTTCTTAGGTCCGAAGTCGGAAATATTAGTGGTAACCTTAGCAGTAGGAGCGACTATCATTTTAATGGTAGCTAGTTATTCAGAAATAAGCGGCAAAACTCCAAGAAACATTAGTAACGGTGGTATTAAAAAAACAAACTAAGGGACCAAAGAAGTTTTTTGGAAGCGTGGAAATGTGTAATTGAGGGAAGCGCATTATTTTCTGTGGGAGGGAGGGGGAAGGAGGTTGGAGAAAAGAGAAATACTGTATATCGTAGAAAGCGCGGGGGGGGGATGGGCGAAGACAGCAAAAGCACTCCCTATCATCTTTTAAAAGTATTAGCGCCACTCTCGGTTTCTCCCACACATTTATCCATGCGAGAGCACTATACTCGTTCCCATAGTAACTATCCCATAATGCAAYAAGGTTGACGACGTTGTACTTTGCAAGAACTAGCTGTTGTACCTTTGTCATGCTGTACCAAGGTTATTTTCACGAGGATGAAAACCTTTCTCTATGCCCGCACGCGTAAACCCATCTTGAACCACTTGAATGTCACTTCCTTGAGTCCTTTTTTATCTCCGGTTTAAATCCCTCGGCAAAACCTAACACGTTAAATTCCAATTCAATGTGTTAGTTAGCCGTGCCCTAACTTCGATGAGCCCAAAGGTTATTTCGGTTTATCAATAAAAAATGTTAAGGTTTTTTGAAGGCTACGCGGGGAATTAAAAAAAAAATCAAGATGGCGGCCGCGTGAGAAAGGTCGATTGTTCAGTACTATAAAGCTCTATCGAGGGAAAATAGAACTGAGAGAAGTAATCTCTGGTATCCATGCTTATAACCATCATAACCCTGTTTGATGCTATTTTTAGAATCACAGTTTGCCATCTTTTTTCGATGAAATAAATGAAAACATGAGCAAACAGAGTAGAGTGCGCGCATTACACGCGTGCAGTAAAACAAACGATCAAATGAATTATTCTAAAAATAGCATTAAAGAGTGCTCATGATGGGGCACGGGACTCCTCCTATTAGTTCATTTTCTCTTTGTTACATGGAGTTGATTAATTATATTGTTTGTTTTTTGTTTTTTGTTTTGTTTTGTTCTAGAAATATCAACTACAGCCTAACCAAGGATTTCCTTGAGAGACGACTTCAATATCCACCAACATTCTAATTCACATCAACCGTAAAACACAAAATGATTACAATGATCATTCCCATTAGGCAATATAGTACCTGCCAACATCTTTAGATCAAATTAGAATCATTTTACCACGTATCCTTGCATGCTTTTTAAAAGACACCGTAGTGTACAATCGTGTATGTTGGTCAGGATCGGAAAGCAGGAGTTCCCAAATATGGTTCGTAGCATTCATAGAAATCGGCGTTCTTTACTCAGTTCGTGTTTCTGACGTTGGGTTGTAAGGCCTTTATCATGGTGTCATTTTAATACTATTACCAGCCAGAATGCTTTGTGAATTTCTTTCTATTTTTAAGCGTTGGCTTTAGTGGTTTATGACACTGTTATGCAAACACCGGGAAGAGCTTGTTGGTTGCGCCCCCAAATTCACGTAGACAAACTTAAGCATTTTAGGCATTAGGCATCTTCATGAATGCCAGGAGATCTCTCTCGCAATTTATATTCTTTGTCACCCATGGCACAAGTAAAGAAAGAGTAAAATGAACACGCTTCTAGCTATAAGTTAAAAAAAAAAAAACTACCAACCTCCCGTAACACTGCAATATAACAACTATACAATAGAGTGCATATACCATATATCCGTGAAAAAGTGAACTAACAAGGTCGTACAAATTAGTGCACAGTTTTGTTGGTCTACGGTCTACTGAGGTCTACTGAACTTACTAATTTGTGCGGCGATTTTTTACAAGGTTTTTCGCGGATATATGGTGTGCACTCTAATCAATTCATATACTAAAGAACTCTATTTTTCTGCTAGACTTTTAAATTTCTACTAATAGTACTATAAATATATTTCTATAAAGCTTTAGGATAGGTACTTATACCTGAAAGATCAGTAGGTACCTCGGCGCTAACTCAATACCAATGACCGTTAGTATTTTAAGATAAAAATGACTATATAGAGGCCATTATATTATCAGGTATTAGGGGAAAAAACGTATTTTAAAAATAAAATAACCGTTAAGGTATCAAAAGAAAATATATTTTATTAACTTTTATTATTTAGCGCGCTAAAAAACTAAGGACTACCCAGCTGATCTGCATGATACAGTGATGTAGAAATGACGTTACTGCAGACTCGTACCCAGCCGTCATTTGTTTCACGACCTCCAAAAATTGACCAGCAAAAAATAATAACATGCTCTCCATTGCAACACAATATGAAACTCTTTTTTTTGTGCATGTGTCACTGTTATCAAGTGGCCGTTTTTTCTTTTTTCTTTTGGTAGCCTGGAAATCAATAATTTCAAGAGCAAAAGTGAAACCTCAGATTTGCAACTTGTCTAGATTCTGATTGGCTAACACTCTTCCTCGGCTAGACAGTGTTACGTTTTCATTTAGACTTTGGATTGACGTCATATTTCACTTTTTCTCAAATGCAAACAAAAGTATCTTGGAATCTACTTTAAGAATGGATTTAGCATGGCACAACGTAGGTTGTTGGGGCTGTCGCCTAAATAAATAAAATATTGTGGATCGTGTATGAGGCGGAAGAGAAAGTAAATATCGATCTTCTGTTTTCATTCTAATTTTATTCAACTTCATTTTACATCGTAACCCCCCACAGTTAAATCTATTTGTTCTTGAGCATAAGGTGAGCATTTTGAAGCATAAGGTAGTCATTACCTTATGTAAATGTCGCTACGGGACCGTAATTCGTCGTGGGCAAGTTTAAGAAGAAAGATGCCAACTTGCCTTTTTTCCCTTCTTTCTTTTTATTTATTTATTTATTTATTATTTATTTATTTATATTAATTAATTAAATATTTTGTTTGTTTTCTTAATTCCTCGCTTGCTTGTTATTTGTTGGGTTGCTCTTTCATTCGTTTCGTATTTTTGTTTCACAATTGAGGAAATGAGAAATACCTCCCAAGGTCATGGATATCGTGGTGGAAAAGTAATCGTCTTCCACTGTAATCTTCCTTATACTACGCACTAGAAATCCTGAACTGAAATCAAAATCCTTAGACAATGGGCCAACGTTTACAACATACACAAGGACTGCAGTGGATGAATTTTACGACAACTTATCAAGTTGTTTGATATCCCATCTCATACCTTGTGTCAAAACCGCTATAGATTTAAGGATACAAATTCTAATGGAAAAGGTAAAACTAATTTGTTATTGTAAAAAAAATGTTCTTATATACTATCAGCGTGGTATGGCAGATTGTATTAGGTACTTGCTCCCGGCGCCTTTGAGATAGGGGAATTGTATTTGCTCCGATTCTAATTGCCAAGAAAAAAAACCCTATTAGTGCACACCATCTGTTATAGCTTTTGTTATTTAAGCAATAACTTATTTGAGAAAAAATTCAACCACCTCATTTTTCCTTGCACGTTGGATGAAGTTGTGGTTGTTTGGAAGGCCTTTTTTAAAATGGTGAGTCAAAAATTCTGTCGAACTGTAACATTTTTCTGCATGGGAATGCTAAGAGAAAGGATGGAGAAGGTGGAGTTGAKTCATTGATGTATACAGTATGTGTAAAGAGGATAACTTGAAAACGATTTTGCGAAGCTTTGCCACTTTTAGAGGACTCCGTCCTGCATTCCATTAGTTTGATCTAGAAAGTTCCATTATTACTTATCCATGTATCTGAAAACTCTCTATCTTTTTTTTTTCTTTTTTTTCTAGAAATGTTGTTGATAAGTATACAGATGCTGGTGCAAAAATTCTTGGTCTTTTTGTTTCTCCTTGAAGGTAAGAAGAAAAACCAAAAAAAGGACCGTCTTGCGAATACCAAAGTTCACGCTTTTGTTTGTTCGCGTCATTGCGGTAAATTAAAACAAGTGTCTTTTGTTGAATCACAAATAAGAGAGAAAACAATGACATTAATGCAGTAGGATAATTTAAAATTGACTTCTTTAAGAGGTTTCTCTTGGTGTATATAAATCCTATTTTACCTATAAAAGTGACGAACCTTGAAGAAAAGACACGTTTGAGTTATTGATGCATGAAGTGGTTTCTCTTGATGTCTATATATAAATCCTATTTTACCTATAAAAGTGATGAACCTTGAAGAAAAGACACGTTTGAGTTATTGATGCATGAAGTGGTTTCTCTTGATGTCTATTTATAAATCCTATTTTACCTATAAAAGTGATGAACCTTGGAGAAAAGACATGTTTAAGTTGTTGATGAAGTGGTTTCTCTTGATGTATATAGAAAGCCTTCTTTACCTATGAGTTGAAACAGAGTTCAGGCTTGATCTAGAATTTTGAAACAACTCGAGGAAAATGAAGAGCGGCATTGCTGTGATTTTTGTAAATGTTTATAAAAATGCGAGGCCCTAACCATAAGTTATTTTGAAGGAGTGTCTATGCTGTCTTGCTCATTTGATGATGGGTTGTGTGGATGGCAACACCCAGAAAATGCTTCCAAGAGATGGCTCCTAAACAAAGGAATAAGTATGTATCATTCTTCTGACATCAAAATAATAATCAATCATCTGAGCTCAATAAACAGGGTTCACTCCAGCGCCTGTGATGAGCCTTGGAGAAATCCAATGTTAATTCTATTTCCCATTCCCGATGACCTAAACCCTGGTTTTAGCAATGAACCCTGAGGAAATCCCATGCTGGTGATTCTTTTTGCAGTTCCCAGGGACTTAGGCATTTAAATTTCTGTGCCAGTGATGAACCTTGGAVATATCCAATATTGTTTATATTTCYCATTCCCTGTGTCCAAATCCCTGTTCCTAGTGTTTAAAAACATTGAAGAAATTCACTTTTGGTTATTATATTCTCTATTCTTAGTTTCTAGCTTGCAGTCCCAGTGATGAACCTTAGGGAACACCTGTGTTTCTGTTTTTATATCCCAATGACATAAATATCAATTCCAGCCATAAACCTTAACTTGAAGAAGTCCCATATTTATGATTATATTGTTCATGCATTCTCAACCTTTTTCCTAGTCCCAGTACACGAAACCCCTTTTTYTAAAGTTCAAAAATGCGATCAAAACATTATTGTTAACAAGTGTTGTTTCCCAAAAAAATAATAAGCAGTGTATTTTTCACTAGGTACATATCAAACTGAGAAATTATTCACTTCATTAATTTTTGCATTACAATAGCTTTTTGAAATAGCTTTTTTTTTTAAATTCAATTTCAGGTCAGCACATTGCAACTCCCTACAGTGAGCCGAACTCACTTCCTTTTTCCGTAAAGTTAATTTATCCCAACTTCACGGGGTACGGAGTTTTGTCCTTTTCCTATGCAATGGAGGGTAGCATTACGTTATTAGTTAAGGTCGGAGAAAAGACAATTGTTAAGTTCGCTTCGAAACACCACATCAGATACGTTTGGCAATGGATTACAGTTCCTATCAATTCAAGCAACAATGAGGTTAGATATTTTGTATCAAATATATGAAGACCTTGCCGGCCTTCAAGATTTATCGATTCCTCTAAATAGCCCCCGGGATTATTAAAGTCACGACAACTCGATAGCAAGTTAGCAACAGATAAAATGATTATTATATATGCTAATTATTGTTAAATGTCCCCAACAAGATGACAAAATATATTATGACATATCGTATCATTGCTTTGTTTTAATCAAAGAAGGGAATTTCGCCCTCGCTAGATTATGACGTATTTCCAGCTAACACATTCAGAACTTCTGAAATATTTGTTTTTTCATTTGATGTCATTTCCTGCATGAAAATTGGGGGGTTGAAAATTGGCATTTTTCGACCTCGTTTGATACCCGGCCACCAAAAAAAACCCAGCTAGCTCCATAAATCCAAATCTGCCCCCTCCC